AGAGAGGAAGGGAGTTTGGTGTGTGTGTGTGTGTGTGTGGGAGGGGGGGGGTGTTGAAGGACACACTCGGGCCTCCTGACTGATAAACAGACTCCTCTTTGTACAGCCAGCCTTACACACATACACGCATGCACACACACAGTTACATATTGACTGAGACCTCTGCATGACTTGGCTCCCTGTGATTCTGCCTGCTTTCCCCTTCATCTCTCTGGTTGGTTCTCTTCTTCTCTTTTTTCCCCTCTTCCACTTAATTAAAAACAGATGTCAGAAATGGAAGAATTTAGTTTTTCTTTTATGACCCACACGGATGCACAGGCACACACACACTTACCCCCTCCCCCCTTCCTCCTCATCTCTCAATGCCAAACAGCTGTTGGAGGAGGAGGGGGAGGTGTTCCAGGAAAAAAGAAGTGTGTGTGTCAGAAGTGGTGGCTGTAGTTTTTCTGTGTGGTGCAAACATAAAAAGGCAGCTGGGTTGATAAAATATGGATGTTGAGATGTCAGCACTCCACAGCTACGTGCCTCTGTGCTTGTTTGTTTTTGTGTGTCTAGTCACACATGTGTGTTCTGTCTCTGTCATCCCCTCACCTCCCCCATAATGACTAAGTGTTACATGGCGCAGTACTCCATAGCTACCGCTAGAGGTGCCATCGGCTCATAAATGAAAAGAGCTGGCTGTGCATGTGGAAACCACAGAGCAGCCATTTTACAATCTGCACACCAGAACCCATTTTATGAATCAGCCATGATGTCAACATAGCTAAGCCTGATTCCATTGGCTAGAGCAGAGCAGGTCCTCTAGCTATTATAGTACGTCTGTACACACACAAACACGTGCTCCCTCATCCACCCTCCATCTCATTGAGAACACACACACACTGACCTAGTGACAGAACCTTCACTAGTGTTGTCCCAGATAACTGGATTGTCACTCCTTGAGATTATATACTATCCAGGCTGAACAGTAACCTGTGATGTATCATTTGTGGTGTGTCTCTTTGTACAAGTCTGCATGTGTGCAGGGGTTCAAACTTTTACAGATTATATTATAATATTACTCGTAGATTTCTTTATTTCTCTCAGTATTATCTTCAGATGTGTTCTTTTCTTCACTTTCTAGACGCCATCATTTTGAAAAGGTGGATTATTTTAGGTCATTATCATTCTCCCTGTTTGTGTCTTTGTTCTAATGTGTTTATTTGTAGATGCTTGTCACTTCCTTGAGTTTCTTCCTAACCTTTCAGCCATGACTTGCTGTGTTATTTGACCATATTGATGTTGTTTCCTCTCAGATGTCCTGATGAATTTTCCTACCCTGTGTGTGTAATTGTTAACTTCCTGCAGTGGTTTCCTGGTCGCAGCAGGGACTATGGCTGGAGTTTTGGGCACACAATAGAGCTGATGAGACTCATATAAGGCAAAGTATATGTAAATAGTAGAAGTACAGAGTTCACAGTTTCATAAAGCAGAAGCTGCTACTGAGTGAAACAATGGGACTTGCTAAGACTATAATCCATTGACTGTTTTGTGTGTGTTCTAAATGAATGGCTAAATGGAGAGATGGGGAGCTCATTAAGAGGCCTCAACTCGTCAACAGACTGTCCCACTGGCCTCTCACATCAAGACAAAGCACCGTTTGACTGGACATATGGGAAGATGGAGAGATACTGTAGAAGAATGAGGTGTTATGCTGTAGTGACTCTCTGTGAGGTGAATACTCAGTGTTGCTATTTGAATCAGACTCTTTTTTTACTAATCTAACAAGCTGCAGTTTAACATGGGTGGATTGTGGAATAAGATAGTGAGGAAGTGAACAAAAGGGGCCATGCATGCAATACAGTTATCTGGGGGCTAGGTAAGCGTTCTTCACAGTGGATGATAGAGATTAGTATCACTCATAATGGAGCAAATTTAAGTAAGCGTCCACAGTGTGAAGTTTACACATGAATTTTACAGCATTTTCTGTTGTGATAGCCACTAAATTGTAGCTTTTGCCATTACATGAGCACATCACTGAACAGTGAAAATAAATGGGCTGCCAAGCTGATTTTGATTTATATTGTTTGTTTCAGGTAGAAACTAACAGAGAGACAGCATTTGAGCTGAACATGCTGTACCAGCATTATTATTGGCTGTTTTGCAGACATTGACTCTTGTTTCCGGTTTGTTTCTAGTCTGTACTAAGATGTTGAGAACAAGGCCACAGACAAACAAGATAAGTTTCTGATAGGGAATTAGACAAAAACCAAAGGAGACTGTGAAGCAGATGTACACCGCAGAGACCAACATGCTTCACTGCTTATTTTACTTTTTGCCTTTTAGATTTTGTACAAAGAAAAGAAAAATGACTAAGGTCATTGTTATAAGTTGGGGAGTGGTTGTGGTTTTGAGACCGAGACTTTCTCCTATGCTTTTTCCATTTTTCTCTCTTCCATCAATAATTTAACTTATTAATTAATATTTAGGATTAACTACTTTGTCTAAGAAATGTCAGACACAGTGATGTATGCCCATCATAAGTTTCCTCAGCATGGGATAGTTTCTCAAAGTCACTTATTTTTCTGTCCCAAAGCTGAAGTTTGTAATAGAAAAGAAGGAAACTCATCACATTTGAGAAGCTGTAACCAGAAGATGTTTGGTATACATACAGTGCATGCTAAATGACTAAATGGTTGATTATAAGTTTTGTCAATGACAATCTAGTTCAACTGATGTTTTCAGCATTAATCATGCCATTTAGTTTTTGTGCTGCATTTTCAAATGAAGGTTGGAGTGAGTAGGAATGATTAGATAATGCTGGCGAAATGCAAGTGAACACCTGTGTCCCCTGGTACTCTGCTGACCTTAGCTGTGATGTGCACATGTACAGTGGGCTGTTATGTGGTTAAAACCATATTTCTCTCCTAATTCTCATCCAGTGCTCATTTCACCCCCATGGGCGGACACATTCTTACAGTTACAATCCTGACCTTGTCAGAACAAGTTAATGTGAAATGTTTGTCAAGTAAGTGTGTGTGTGTGTCTATGTGATGGAATGTAGTGTGTATGTCTGTTTGTGAGCAGACTCAAAACGTTGAATGCCTTTCAGCTTACGAACGTCTGACCATACTTACCAGTCCCACCCATACCAGAGACATCTTTCCCCCAGCAGTTTCATAGCAGTTCAGTCTAACCCAAGGCCACTGATGCAGTAATCCTTACACCTCTATGACACCATACAGTTGGGAGAAAGTGGGGGAAAAAAGTAAAGGCCATGTCAAGTCTGTCAGTATTTATAGTAATCACATAGGACCTCATTCCATCACACTACTCCACCTCTCTCTGTTTTACAGAACCCACTGATTTCAAGACTCCTTCATTCCAACATTATTTATGTTCATATCCATTTGTGTTGGTCATTAATAAAGTTATCAAAAATGTCAATTTCTCTCTCCTTTCTTCTGCCCTTCTCTGAATATTACCACCACCCTCCTCATCTTTTTATCCACTTCTTCAGCTAAGAAGGATCAGGATGGTGGAGAAGATAAGAAGCAGCCACAAAAGAAGAAGGTGAAGGAGCTGAAGATTCTTGACAGCAAGGCTTCACAGAACCTCTGTAAGTCCACTAGCAAATGTTCACGTGTATAAAATTCTAAGTGCATTTAATGAACTCCTCCATTTAAATGCCACAATGAAAGCATGTTCACAAATTATTGATTTTACTAAGTACTGTTAATTGTTTGTTCATACAGCCATTTTTCTGGGATCATTCCGTATCCCTTATGAAGAGATAAAGAACGCCATTCTGGAGGTCAATGAGAAGATCCTCACAGAATCTATGGTTCAGGTACTGAGCTCAGATCTGTTCCTGAGTTACTTTATAAGGTTCTGTGTATGCATTCATTCATATATGTTAGGACAATGTAGCCCATGTTATGGATAGTCAGTTTCCGGTGGATATTTTTCTAGGGTGGGTAGAAGAATAGTGTTAGTAGTATAACTCCTGTAACAGTAAGACTATGTCTTGTTGATGTCTCCTTCAGCAAGACATTGAATATCTACCATCTGCAAGGTCACTGCTTATTAACCACAGAAGGATTTGGTCAGTCAGTCAGTGTGTCTTTGTGTAGACCCATGTCTTGCTCAAGGAGAACTTTTGTAACAAGTGTAAGTGACTCTATATCCTATTTGTTATGTATATTTTCCCTTTTATTATCATGTAGAACCTGATCAAACAACTGCCAGCACCAGAGCAATTGAGTGTCCTGGGAGAGATGAAAGATGAATATGATGACTTGGCTGAGGCAGAACAGTTTGGAGCAGTGGTAAGGAGTGACACACACAAAACAGTTTTGTTTTTGTTAAATGGGTTGAGGTTGAATTCCCATCTGTCTTGGACATGTCGTATCATAAACATAGCACAAAAATCTATGTGATGTGAAATAAGGCATTGAAATTTTTGGAGTACTGAGATAGCTGTACAGGTGTCAAAATATTAAACACAGGGAATGTAAAAAAGCCAGACTGCTTTGTTTAGAAGATTTGAGTAATGGTTGAAATCCCCTTCACTCACAGACAGCTACACACATACAGTTCACAATCTGTGTGACAACTAATATAACAGAAATGGCTCTGAAATCCCCTACCTTGTTTCTTTCTCCAGATGTCTAGTGTAAAGCGACTGATGCCACGGCTTCAGGCCATCCTGTTCAAGCTGCAGTTTGAGGAACAAATGAACAACATCAAGCCAGATGTGGTCTCAGTGACGGCAGCCTGCGAGGAGCTCAGGAAAAGTGACAGCTTCTCCAGACTGCTGCAGATCATCCTCCTTGTCGGGAACTATATGAACGCCGGTTCTCGTAATGGAAAAGCATTCGGCTTCTCCATATCATACTTGTGCAAGGTAAAAAGAGGCATAGACATACTGTACACTCAAACAATGCAAAATGAATGATTGTGCTAGAAAGTCCTTGTACTGCTTGGAGTTCAAGTGTGCACATGTTGATGTGTATATAGTAAATTACGTTAAAACTGGGCCCCGTAACATCAAAGCTTCATCAAAATCTAAATATTGTATTTTTATCTGATCTAAACATGTATAATAGGCAATATATGGACACAGACGAAATTCAAGCATAAATGCTGGAATTTCGGAAATACATACAGGTGGGTGACAGGTTAAAGGAAAAACCTCTTCCATGATCACTATGCCCCTATTCACAGGGCATGAGGGATCACTGAATGGTTTGATGAGAATGAAAAGGATGTGGATCATATGCTGTGGCCTTCAGTCACCAGATCTAAACCCAGCTGAACTATGGCACATTTTGGAATGAGGTGTTAGAGAGCACTCTCCACCACCAAAATGAAAACCCCAAGTCAGAATTAAAATCTGCTTTAATCACCAAATATGTTGAGATTACAAGGAATTTGTCTCCATCACAGAGGCTCTCAGTGTGTTTTAGGGAACAGACAATAGAACAGTGCAGTAAAAGGTAGGGGAGGCGTGGGAGAAGGAGGAGAGGCAGTATTCATAAACATTATATACACATTTCGAGGTATCATACTAGTGCATGTAGCTGTACTATTTACAATTATTGCACTGCAATGGTTGCTGAGTCTGGTTGCTTCAGTCATAGTTAACTGTTCAGCATGGAGATGATGCGGTGGAAGAAACTGTCCTTGTCTGGTTGTTTTGGTGTACCTGTTGTGAAGTCCAGAGGGGAGGAGTTCAAACAGTTCATGTCCAGGATGTGAGGGGTCTGCAGTAATCTTCTCTGCCCTCCTTTTGACCCTTGATGCATACAAGCGCTCCATGGAGAGCAGGCAGACACTGATGATTTTTTTCTGATGTCTGAACTGTCTGCTGGAGTTTGTTCCTGTCCTGTTTGGTTGCTAAACCAAAACAGACAGTGATAGATTAGCAGAGAACAGACTCGAGAGAAATGAAGGAATATCTTTTGTAAGGATGGTGTTCATCCCTCCAGTAGAATTCAGACTTGTAGTCAATGTCAAGGAGCACAGAAGCTGTTCTTAGAGGCACATGGTGGCCCCGGACCTTATTAAGACACTTTGTTGGTTGGTCCTTTAATTTGTCACCTATCTGTATCAAACCATGTATATAAAACACTGACAACAGATACTGAATATCTTTTGATTGTCTTTTCAGTCAACCCATTTTTAACCTCTCCTCCTTCCAATCAGCTGCGTGACACCAAAACAGCTGATCTGAAGCAAACGCTGCTCCACTTCCTTGCTGAACTGTGCCAGGAGCGGTATCCTGAGGTCATGAGTTTTCCAGATGAGCTCATCCACATGGAAAAGGCCAGCAGAGGTACATGTGTCATCTAACTGACCTGTATACATCTCAGTCTCTATGCAGTCCCACCCATTGTAGCCTGTGTTTGCACCATGTATTCAGCTTATTGATACAGTATGCTCCTCTTGTTTCAGCTGGTGGCACTGCATACCTGTCTGCAGTGCCTGTATTACCTTATTGAAATCAACACTTTGTCATATGAGGAAAAAAACATGTTCATAAGCTACATGTGTTGTGTATTAACAGTATGAAGGCACTCCACATCATTACTGTTTCCCTTATGTCCCCTGCAGTATCTGCAGAGACTCTTCAGAAGAACCTAGAGCAGATGGGCCGTCAAATCAAGAGTTTGGAGAAAGATCTGGAAACCTTCCCCCCTCCACAAAATGATAAAGACCTGTTTGTGGAAAAGATGTCCATATCCTTTTGATTTACTTCAATTTTTATACATTTGTTTAGCAGTTACCTAAAAGTGTGTTTATATACAAATTCAAACCATCAATTCTGTCATAAATTATCAAATTGATGTCTTGTTAAGATACAGATATTGCTTCTATGCTCCTTAACAGCAGGCCTCCACAGTTTTGTGAGCAATGCCAAAGAACAATATGAGATGCTCGATCTGTTGCATAAGAATATGGAGAAGCAGTTTACCGACCTGGGGGACTATTTTGTCTTTAACCCCAAAAAAATTTCTGTAGAGGAATTTTTTGGGGATATCAACACCTTTAAAAACATGTTCCAGGTCTGTATGTGCAAGTTAATGAACAAACTTTAGTCTCACACAAACACTCAATGGTTACACATACTGTAAAACGACATGCACATAAACAGTCAAATTGTACATGAAAGAGGGAAGGATGGGAGACAAATGCCAAACCAGGATTACAAAAAAACAAGAGATTGCACCTGTTTGTATTGACATAATAAAGACTTAATTATATTGCTAGTTTATACATCAAACTGGGAGGGCTCCTGCTCGAGGTAACTTGTTTTACCAGTTGTGGATAGCCACCATTTGAAATTTTGTTTTTGAGAAACCCTTTCATACTCATCACACTAATTTATCCGCTTCAAACACTAAAACTTTAAAACATAATTGGCATACTACGCTAAATGACATTTTCTCCTCTTCTCTTTCTCCCCCCACCAGCAAGCGGTGCAGGAGAATCAGAAGAGGAAGGAGGCTGAAGAGAAGATTAAGAAGGCCAAGCTGGCCAGAGAAAAAGCAGAGAAGGAGAAGGAGGAGAAACTCAAGAGGAACCAGCTCCTTGACATCAACGCAGGTCACAGTTGCTGCATGATATCTGATCACCTGTGTGTGACTGAAAAGAGAGAAACATACTCTCACTATGTATTTCCCTCAGATTCCAGTTGGGGGCAGTCAGAGTCCATGCTTTTGTGGGATTTGTGTGTGTGTGTGTCCGTGTGTGTGCGAGACAGAGCAACCCATCAGCATTTATAGACCAGAGCTGATCTGATGTTGATGACCTATGTTTTGAGTTAATCAACCAAAGAAGCTCAGCAGAAAGTGAATACAAGGAGGATTCATGCATACAAGGAGCTACTTGACCTCTTTTCTCTGTTCCCTTGGAGGGGAGTGCTTTCAAAAGAGAACTTACATGAGAATCCTAAATCTCTTTATCACTAAAAACATGTTTCTTCCTCTCTATGTGATGCTGTTATGCTTTGTAAAAAGGCTAGCAGCATATTGTCCTGTGTAACAAACACACATTCTTGAACTCTCATCTCTGGTACACACAGGTAATATACAAATCCTGCCCCACAGATGTACATTTATGCATAGACACTACACCCCCTCCCCCCTCCAGACTGTGACCTAGTTTCAGTACATTCCTTCTTGCTTTGGCTCCAGTTGGGTTCTCCTGGGACTCTACAGTTCCACAGTCAGGTATTGCTGCCTCAGTGCACACTGTATATGAATGAATGTTTATGCACTATAGAATTACAGTGTCTCCTTCTCGTGAAGGTTTCTTTTTTGGTTTGCCTTTGTTTTTGCACTGTGTGTGTGTGTGTTTGCAAATGTATTTAACATCATCGTCATCATCTTTTATTAGCAGACTCAAGGTCCATTCAAAAAAAGAAATAAAAGAAAAAAAGAAAGGCTATAAAAAGAAAAAAATAATCATAAAAGACATTTATACCAATGTTTCCACAGAGAGGATTGGTAACGTACTACACTAAAACCAGGATTAGCCAGCATCATTATAAGACTGTTCTCAGAGTTATTCACATGACAGATAAATCTGTACATCAGGTTTCTCATTAATGCCTGAAAGGTACTAACATGGACCTGTGAACACAACAGACTGGCGCTGGTGGACCTAGGCTTCTTAAGCAGAATCCTCAAGGCATCATTATAAGCAACTTTAAGTTTCTGTAAAGTAGCTACCTTATATTTACACCACAATGGGGCAGTATACAACGGTGTTCAGTATGTTCTGAACAGATGAACTTTAACATTAGCAGAAGAGAGACAAAGTGCGGTACATCATCTCCACACTCATTTAAGAGTTGTAGGCAACTTTTGATGTTATTTACATCTTTCTGCTTGCCCCTTAAATGCCACATAGTGTTGCTTTGTGTTAGGACACAGTTCAAACGACACCTTTCTTGAAGATTCAATCCATCGAGTGTCAAAATGATTTGAGGCAAGTAGGACAAGCTCGTCCTGGCACATTGTCTTAATCTTAACCGCAAGAAAGTTAAGAAACTCGTCCTCGACTACCAGCATACCATCTACAGATTTATAGAGCTGCGGTTTCACTCGAGGTCGACTAAGGCTCAGAGCAGCAGCAGCACCCTGCTCCACACCGTCCGCCATATTGAATAAAGAGTGTTGAGCTTGTAACAAAAAGTCTTTCTGGCCTTTCTCCTAGTGCTCCATGTTCCAGCTGGCTTCTCTTCTCCTCTCTTGCTTTTGTTCCATCACTCCCTCTTCTTTTTTCTTTTCCCTCCCCCCTGTGCCTCCTTTTCATTTATAGGGCACTTAAAAACACACAAGCACTGTGACTCCACTTGGTAGCTTTTTGTCAGTGTTAAAAGTTTGGAGCAGACATTTTGCGGTAGAAAGAAAGGTAGTCAAATTTCATGTTCCACCCCAGGGGCATGCACAAATGGAACATAATAAGGCTTCAAAGATGGTTGTGTGTCTGTGTGTGTGTGTGTGTGTGTGTGTGTGTGTGTGTGTGTGTGTGTGTTAGTGGGCCAGAGATCATTTACATACAGGTGCCATATTTGACTGCCCCTGTAGCCCAAACACACACAGATCCAACAGTGAGACACACCTGGTCTTTGATCTGTATTTGTTTATAACCCCCATTCTGAATAGGTAGTACACAGTGGTGGTTCTCACCAGGTACTGTTTTGCACAGTGACATCTTGTTTCCCTTTTTTCTTTCCTTCTCTCACCCATGTGCTTGCATACACTTACTATCTCTGAATGTGTAAACACAGTATCCCAGTTATTAATTAAACCCTGGAAGGTTGGTGTGTGTTCAGTTTGTATCCTTGTCATTCCTCTGAGTCAGACAGACAGAGCCTCACTTTGCACATGTAATAAGCATGTGATGGTAGGTAGTGTGAGTAACTGATTCCTCTGAGTTTCTTTGTATATTTTAACTTTTTTTTTGACAATGCAAGTATTAAGTGAGGTTGTGATAGGTCATGAAGCAAGGGAGTTTAGGATTCAGAGACCTTGGATGCCACACGTTCACCATCTGTGTTCTAATGTGAACTTATAAATGTTGTCTGCTACTGTAATGAAATATCCTCCATAGCTGCACTCATCTTTAGACAAATGCCAAGGCTGTTCCTTGTTTCAGCAGCTAGGTGTCAGTGCTGTATGTAAAAGAGTTTGTGAGGCTATGTGCTTTTATGTACTGTATGTGGCAAAGGGTGGGTTCATGTGTGGTTTACACTCCCCCACATATGCTGGTATGGGAAATGCCACTAGGAGTGCTCATGCTCCATTCAGACAGAGCATGTGAGGGAGTGGTGTGGGGAGGGTAAAAGAAGGAGAAGAGCAGGGCAGCAGATGCTCGCTTAAGGATTAGACTGTGTTGTTGTCTCTTAGAAAAGGGGGTTAGAGGAGGAGATGAGAAAGGCACTGGCTGAGCGAGGGGATGAGATGGGATAAGCCTGGGTAGCCTGGGGTCTCATCCAAGGCAACTGTGAAAGAGACAAAACCATGTCCCATTAGAAGAATGGAAATTCTGTCTCCAGCCCACTTCAACAATATTTCTTTCTCAAACTCTTTTCCTTTTCAAGTGGTTTTCTTTCAGTGGTTGTTCCTCCTCCTCCTCCTCTACTCTGTAAATATTTCTTTTCATGCCCTCATCTGTTATTTTGTAACCATCCATTAGAGGTGCTATTGCTCCATACAAGACGCTGTCCTTCCCCTGTTTGTGCATGCCAGAGATTGTGTGTGTGTGTGTGTGTGTGTGTGTGTAGGTGTGTGCATGTGCACATCTAATGTAGATCACCTCCAGAGAGACATCTTTAAGAGCTAATGCTGTTAAACTAATTAATCCATCTTATGTTCTTATATGCTTCTGGCCACACCTTGCTGTTTGTATTACACACTACAGTTCTGTGTACAGATTGTGTATGCCTGCTTATGCTGCTCCAAATCTAGGCCATTTTTGCACTGAGTCTGACTTTGTCACCACTGTTTTTGAGGCAGTTTCAGTATTGATTTTGTACTGGTCAGCAATATTAAACCACTTCAATGAAAAACATGAATTAACAAGAGCCCATGATTATCAGCAAGTGAGTGAGCCCAGCAAGTGTTTATTTCCCACTTTAATATCACTGTTGCTAATCACAGACAAACCACTTATTATAAAGCTTCTCTAGGACTTTTTAGTTTCACTCGCTCAACAATAAGCTTGTTTTCCACACAGCTAGGTCATTGTGCGATCCTTCTGCTGCCTCCAGCACATTTTCACAAATGGGTTTGTGTGTCTGTGTGCTTCCACCACTGGTATATGCCAATCAAGTGATTAATGTAAGTGGAAATGCGCCAGATGTGTTTCCCTGGCAGGAGAAAAGCATGGTCTAAATCACAAACTATCTGTGCGGTTCATTGACATCAACATAGGGAGGTGTATGTGAGCTTTGCAAGGCTTTGGGAGTGTGAGAAAGATTTTTCTGAAGTGACAGGCAAGACCACTGGCAGCATGGCTTACTACAGGATTAAATATTGTGTGTATGCATGTGTAGACAGAGCTGCATGTGTGTGTGTGTGCGTGCATGTGTTTGGGGGGTTGGGAGGTTATAACATAAACCTTAAACCCCAACCCCACTGTTCCCTTTCCACACCCCTCTGTTTCTGTTCAGGTTCAACCAAAATAATTAGAACCATCTGCCTTAGTGCTGAGCTGTGCCACTGAATTTTGCGCACAGTCATGATAATGCTCACACACTTGTACACATAGCAGCATTGCTATAGAGTTAGCCCCCTCAGTTTGCCCCACCTTTCCTGGTTTATGTCCACATGCCACTGAGGCTGTGCAGAGTATAAACAACCACAAACATTGAGCCCACCCATACAAACCATGCCTGTACACATAGCACAGATATGAGTTTCATTTCCAGTCAATGCTCATTTAACTGTAGGCTACTGTATAATTACTCACTCATTGTAGTATTTTAATGTTTATGTCCAGGTTTGGTATCAGTGGGTGTGTTGTTGCAGTAAGGGTGTGTGTGTGTCTTTGAGAGGTTTTCTCCCCCAAAGTGCAGTGTGTATCCCAAAGCAGTGACAGTAGCTGAACTAGGTCATTACCCATTGGGGTTAATGTGTCTAATTTTCAGCCTGACAATGTGTAAAGAACACTCTGCCCATGTGACTGTTGATGTGTCTGAGAGAAACAGGGTTTATCAAAACCACTAGTCACTGCCATGTTGTTGGGAAGGAAAATGACTGTACTGTATATGCCACAGTGGAGTTGTGTGTGTGTGTGTGTGTGAGACATGAATAAAATGTTCATTCTGACTCATATTGATTTTAATCTAGTATTTGTTGATGTATCACTGATACCATGTTTTGATGCTGTGTTTACAGGAGATGATGAAACTGGTATCATGGATGGCCTGTTGGAGGCGCTTCAGTCCGGTGCTGCTTTCAAGAGAAAGAGGGGTCCACGACAAGCAGGTACACATACACAAGCAGAACCATAAAACTTCACAAAACATGCAGATGTTTCAAAGTGTCGTGTCTTACTTGATTTAGAGATTTGTTTCCTTTCACCAGTTTGTGGCATGCAAGCTACATTAAAAAAAAAAACAGATGTAGCATATGAGACTCATTTGCTCATTTGTCGTCTTCTCAGTGTTTCTGTTGACACACAACAGCAGATTTCTTTGTGTTCCCTTGTCTCAGTTCCATCTGATGGATGGTTCAGAGACTGTAGTTCATAGTAGTATTTTCTGGCCATGGGTACAGTGGGTAAAGCCAGTTCATCCAGTGGTTAGTACAAATTGATGAGGGTGTGGTTGTGGAATGGGACATGTATGAATGTGGAACAAAAAAGGTTTAACCAGAGTGTGGTTAGAAAGTTTAAGGAAGTGAGATCAGTGAGTGGGAAATAAGCTATACATGTGGGAACAGCTGATTAAAGTATGAACAAAATAATTATTCCAATTTCACTCCACTCAAAAATGTTTTGTGTACTGTTACTTCACTTGTAAGTTTGGCCTTCAGTGTGTAGGACAACATATGGTATGTGCAGAGTTTTGATACCATGTGATGGGCTGTTTTCAAAGAGGGAAAGCTTCTCATGTGCTTCCCTTATATCAGACTTTAAGATGTGATTGTGAGCATGATTTTGAGACATTACGACTAGTTGGGAAATCAGTCATAGTTCAGCATGCAAATTATCCAAGTGAAATGTGAAAAACCTGAACGCTACAGGTCAAATACACTGTGAATGGAAGTAAGAGACACTTATCTCACATGACTGGATGGTTCTGAAACCCCAGCTCACAGTAAGTGTCTGGTCAAAATCATAAAATATATAGCATCACTATCATTTACCTTTCCATTTGATCTTAGAACAAAAAAAAATTGGAACACTGTTTTTCTCATTAATATGCTGGCCAGTAGTCCCTGTCCTGTGTGAGAGCACGTACTCCTGAGCACAACTCCAGCCTGTGTTGATTTTCATTCAGGCCATGTTGTCAGTTTATAATCTCATGGAGACAGAACTGTAAGATGGTCAGCTACTTACCCAGCTGTCCGTTCCACTGCCCAATCCAGTCACATTTACTTACTAGAGGCTATGTAGAGTGTTTTGTTTTTAAACTTGTTTTTGTGGATAATATGGCCTTTTAAGACCATCCAAATTAAAAAGAGGTCATGTGGGTTGTTAGGATAGTAACATGATTCCTGAAACTTGCATGTAACCATGTGAGTGGAAAAGTGTCCAGTGCCCATTAACTGAGAGTCTGTGTGTGTGTTTATTCACATGCACTCGTGTGGGTTGTATTCACACATAAGAGAGGCTAGGGAAGAGTGTATGCAACCCAATCCGTCTCTCAATAGAAGCCAGATGTGAAGCATTGCTCCAGAGCAGGAGGGCAGACTGTGTACTTTGTCTTTTATTCTCTTTTTTCATGTTCCTTTTGTTTTTTCTTTTTTCTGTTACTTAATGCTTTTATATAGCCGGTTAGCTGTAATTGTTTATTACAGTAATACAGTGGTTGTGACAAGGGTTCCTCTGTGATCCCCCCCCAAAATCTCAAATGGCAGCAAAGTCTCTTTAAAAACATCTTAGGCTCATCGCCACTAAACTGGCTGAGACAACAGTCAGAGGAGGAAATGGAGGGAGAAGAGGGAGTGAGGAAAGAGCCCTGCATGAGTAAGAATGGGGCCCACTCAAGGACTCAGTCCATGAAACTGTCAGGCCACCACATACTGCCAGCAGGAAATACCTGAACACATGTATGAAAGAGAGGAAGGGAGAGTGAGCCGTTCTTCCTACGTATACTTGTCTGTGGTAGAAAAGAAAATAGGAAAATATAAGTAGCTGTATGTATCATCCCACACCACTGTCTTCCACAGTCTTGTCATTTCTGTTTTTCTTTTGCCCGAGTTCAGTGTTTTCCTTGGTTAACGTGGTGTGAAGCTCTGCTGTTTTTTTGGCAATCTGAGCTTTGTTAGGAATTATAATTTCCACACTGACATTTAAAGGCTGTTCTTTTTTTTTTTTTACCCACTTTGCTTTGTAAGTCTTTTGCCCACACAAGAGGAGGGTGTCTTTATGTTTGCGTGTGTGGATGTTCAGCGGGTTGGTCGAGTCTGAGGTCTTATTTTAGTGGAGCTGAAGTAGGAGGAGGCACATCCTGACTCTGACTCAACTGTTACATATCTGACAACACTGGGGCCATAGGCAGCTTCCATCAGCAGAGTAAAATCACTCCTCAATCCAGCTCATGAACACATGGAAAAATTTAGATTTGAAGAACAGTTACCCTAAACTTGTTCTGTGCATGTTACACAGCAACACAACAAGATATCAAAGAAACACAGCTATAGGAAATGTAATTCATTTTCTTGAACCTTTCAGGTCAAATATGTGATTTAATGATTGAAATAACACAGCTCTGTCCAAATATATACATTTGAAGCCATTAGATAATTTAGAATATAATTTCAGTGAGATGATTGTCTTTCTCTCTCACTGATTGTGAGATGATATGCCACTAGCCCTTTTCCAGTTAACCAGTTGCTCATCTTACCTCATTCTAATTACCTTTCCTTGCAATTACAATCCAATCAATTTGGGCTCTTGTTCAATGGTATTACATAATGATTCTCCAAACACAAATCAAATGTTCATTGCCTTTTATGCTCTGTATATAAGCAAAGGAGTGGAAGAGGAATAATGGCTTCTCGTAGCAAGGGACTAGAAAATAGCAAAAAATTACAGTGAAGCCATACAAGCCACAGTTGGCTGTACATTTAATGTAACTGAAATATTAATCAAAAATAGTTTGTCAACATGCCTGTTGTCACATAAGACATGCTCATGCATCAGGTGTATAAATATTAAATGTGAGTCCAAACACCAGTGAAGCTGCTTATGCATCAAACTACTCTATCAGAGGGCATCTTACATAATATCAGTATTGTTGTATGTAATGTCTTTAATGTTAGAACCCAGCTTGTTCTGTTGATCACAAAACAAGTTGAAGAACTGATCAAGCATTTGATAAACAATTCAGCACATTCCAGATGAGTCCAGGATCGTAGTAGAATAACTAAATAAGTTCACCAACCCTCTCACAGCAGAGCAGGAGTGAAAGCTCACCTGACCTACGGGCCTTAGTTGTAATTAAAAAGTTTATTATGTTGTCAAACACTGCACCAATAGTTAAACAAGGAACCCAAAGATAAGTCCTCTCACCAACATTTAAGGTGTGTTAACAGGTTGCAGGGCCAGCTGAGCTGTGCATACTAGATTCCATTATAAATAAGCTGATATATGAAGCCTTTCTATAATTCTGAAACCTTTTTGAGCAGAGGTGAAAATACATTCCTAATTTACTCTACACACCCTTTCAGTCTGCGTAATTAAGTCATTAATATACAACTGTCATAAAAACTACAAAATGCAAACTCTTATTAGAGTGTGTGCTATACTGATCTCTCTATTTTAGCAGAAACAGATGTTCGACAAGAAAAGCATATTACTACCAACAGTTGGTAAATGTCCATTATAATTACATATACGGGTTGCTGAACAATTTTTATGTCCACATCCTGTCACAAATATAATTACAAGCAGTATCCATCACTACAAGAGGGTGTAAATAGTGACTACATCTCAAATGTAGTCTTAATGTTGAGTATCCATCCTTAAAATATAACCAGAATTGTTTTAATCGACTCTGTGCTGATACAAAACAGTACTTCTACTGTACTTGTGGTGGTCTATTATTTTTTGTGTATAGAGCTGGCGTTCACATTTGTGCATGTAAGGGTCTTCATCACATGAAGTGTGTCCCCTTCTTCCCTTCCTCTTTGTTTCCTCCCCTCGCAGCTGTGGTGACTGCAGACGTCACCAGCTTGGTGTTAAGGACTGCTGAGGCCCTATTGAGTGTGTTGTCACGCTCTTTGTGTCACAGCAGTGAGACTGACTAGAAAGCCACGAGGCTGCTGAGGTTATATACCCCTCACCTTTGACCTGTACCTCAGCTCACTGTGTGTGTGTGTGTGTGTGTGTGCTGGTTGCATAGACTGCAGACTGCATGGGGTGTCCTCAGCTGCCTACCCTCCTCCTGTCTGCCCACCCCCTCTAAACACATACAGACAAAACACACAGCAGATGCTTGCATGCCAATACAAACGCACACATGGATGTTTGCATACCAATACATAACAGGCAGATCGCATTTCAAAGGACAGATAGCCTTGCATACTTTCTCAAACACTATCACATTCTGGCTCTGTGCTTTAGACAGTAAGTTAGGGTCCGTCTGCATCCTTCTGTATGGATACAGACATGCCAGTTTGGCTACTAGAGTAGTAGTTGTGTGTATGTGTTTAAAGCAATTTGAAGGCACTTGTGTGTAGTGGAATGACATATCTAAACACTCACTGTGGACCCATCTGCTGGGTCGTGACCCTTTGCAAACCAACCAATCACAGTAGCAACAAGTTGACAAAGCACCAATCACAACAAACACGGAGATAAAGGGGATGGCAACAATGGAGGCACACGCTGGCTCTGCAGACGGTCTGTTGCTACAACAAAAGAAAAAGACCCTTGCGAAGATTTGTGCTTTCACAGATGTTCACACACAGACGAGAGATAATTTAGACCAATAGATCATCAATCAAGCCATTACTGAAGCAGTGGTGATGTCACATGCATACTAAACAACCAGTGAGACCATAAATGCCAATAGATAATGTATATAAACTGGTTGAGCCCATTCAGTGATATCAAATGCACATGAACACCAACCCACTAGCCAGTAGTGGTGCCAGAAGACGTCACTCTCTCCCACAGTCCTCTAGTGCAGAGCAGTAGTGTTACACAGTGCAGCCTGCAGAGGACGCCATGAGTCTCTACTAAGTAATCGACATTGCTGGAGATCCTGCCTGCATCTGCTAATACACCATTATGCTAGTAGTGACACTGTTACCATGTTGTCATGCTACTGTGGCTTTATTGTACCTGCCGTTCAATAGATTTAACAGCATAAAGATGCGAATTTCTTATTCAGTTGGTAGGTGGGTGAGGGTATGTAATCTGTGACCAGCAAAGAAGTGGATCTTCCCTTACTTAACAAAGCCTCTGAGCTAGTTCTTGTTATGCTCTCACTGCAGCTGATTTTCTGCAGATTCTTTCATCACTCTTCTTTCTATTTCTGTATTTTTCCCCTCATAAGGGCAGCACACATATGCCTACAGTACAACAAAGCGTTCTTCCTCTCATCAGGCAGTCATTATTGTATCTCCTGGAGGGTAATATGTTACAGATGATCTTTGCACTACACTCTTTGTGCCACTGATTGCACTTCAGTGTGTAAACACAGATTCGCTCTACCCACCAATCAACAGACCTAAAAACGGTATTTGTTGTGAATCTCTTTTTTTTTTTATTACTGCAACTGTCAGCATGCTGCCAAGTGTGTTTAGTCAACATTAGAGCTAGTCTGTACATGATGACAATTCTCTGTTGTTGTAGTGCCACATGTTGTCCTCATCAAACAAGGACAGGCTAAAATAGCATGTGACTTGTGCCAAAACTGGATCTTTTCTAGCTTTAGCTCCAGGCTGAGTTGTTCTCCCCATGACAAATAAACTGAGCTGTATGTGTGAAATCAGTGGTGTGCCACTTTAAATCGAATCACAATCTGTCTGGTCAGGTGTTTCATCTGAAACCTATGAGCAGTTACGCCTCATTTCCAATGAAAGGTAAAGTGAGAGCTGGGGCTACAGCTTTTACCTGTGGTCTATCCCAGGGCCATCCCTGAGTGCAAGTCTGGTGATATGATACATTTTTTGTTTAGGTCCCTAGTAAATGCACTGTTTACTCTTGTTTAAGTAATGTTTGCTGTTGGGCTTTGACTTGAGAAACAGGGTGGGAAAGTAAAAGCTTTGTGATAGATTAATGCATTGCTGCTTTAGGTCTGTTTATGGGATTTTATACCAGTGACAAAGATTGGACTATCGCCTGCCTCAAACTTAAACCAGATTTTATCTTTTGTTTGACTCATGTAATCTGTGTCATTGGGAAAGAAAATACTTGATGTGAACTCGTCTGTCAGGTGATTTATTAGTTCCCAAACTCCTGTATTATAAATGTTACTTAAATCTGCAGGTTTCTGTCTAAATTAATCTTCTGCTGCTTCCTATGGGGCACCTCTCTGATGCTGACTCTTATCCTCTCCTGTCTCACTCCTGTCTTCTCTCACAAAAGGGAGTGGATGAGAGGAGAGAGAGGAGAGGAGCCGGGTTGACAGCCCTTGAAGTGCTTTTCTCTTTGGGCTGGATCTTTTTAGGATGAACTTGGCACATACATATGGAATATCACCCACAGTAACGCACAATCACACTTTGTTTTTGGGTCAGTTGCATAATTTCCAATTAGTACTTTTATGAGTAAGAGGGGGTTTAGAAAAGGCTGAAAATAGTTATGAAGGATTTATGTGAGAGTGGATGAGAGTGTTTATTGTCATGTACTGGGGGAAATCAGTGTGTGTGAGGTGATAATTTGACACCCCAGCTGTCTGCGCTGAACAGTCCAGCTGAGGCTCGCATACAAAGAAGGGAAGTCAACTGTGATCATGACCCTAAATCTCCAAATCCTCCTCCTCTTTCTCCCCAGACTCAATTGTGTCTTTGTCACAGCTACTTCTGGAAGCCTGCTCGGTAACTGTGTGTGCTGTGCTGCATCAGAATCATGTGTCAAGTATAGCTTTGTTGTTTGTGTTGCCATGGTTCAGTTGCATGTGTATTCATATTGATTTGCTTCATGACATCGCCGGATTGATCTGTCCCCCCCCCCCATCAGTAGCACAGAATGCTTTGCACCAGTATGTGTGTTTGTTGTCAGACGTCTCCTATACTGATGTTAACATTTGATTCATAGCAGCTTTTGCTCAGAGACTGAAGAGCTCTCATCATACACCAGGAATAAAATGACAGCAAACACACAATCTCCCACTGACCTACAGTATATACTTCAAAATGGCTGCTGCTGCACAGCTGCAGGAGAATGATGTGTGGTAAAGGATGGAGGGAGGGAAGGCTAATGCTAGTGTGTATGTGTGTGGGAGGAGGAGAGGAAATAACAGAGTGAGCAGGTAGAAGCATAAAAACAGCATCCTCAGGGCACAGTCTGTCAGATTTGTTCTTTTTCTGTCTGTCCCTGTGCATCTCATGTCTTGGCTCACTGCTTTCACTTTTTGCCTGTATTTTCATCCTTATTTCTGTTATTCCTCACAGCTCATTCCTCCTCTTACTGAGTTAGTTTCTCCGTCCATGTTCGTCTCATTTATAATCACCTCTGACTTTTTAATCTTCCCACATGAAACATCCTGCTTTTCATGGCGTCTCACGCTTCGTCTTACACCTTCCCTCCCTCCCTGCCTTAATTTGTCACCATCTCTGTTCCACTTCGTCTTCCTCTAAGTGTCTTCTACACCAGTTTTTTCTCTTTTCCTCATTTTTCCCACTTTGTCATGTGTATGTCGAATCTGACATTCACTGTGAGTTGCTCTAATCTACATAGACAGCTACACTACTCAGCTGTTTGTGTGATTGTGTCATGGGTTGTGTGTGTGTGTTGGAAAGAAGGCGAGCATCCATTTTGTTTTGTCATTCAAAACACGCATTTTCTGCCACACACTGGTATAGGAGTGTGCAACCCAGTAGCTGGTGTGCTAAACCGTTTGCAGTGCAAAATGTCCAGTGTTTAGTTGTATAGCTGTTTTTACTTGTGTGTTTTTTTTGTACATGCATCAGATATGTCACTTCATGCATGCGCTGACATATCTATGCAAGTTTCATATGATATTATCACATCTGCTTTATTATGGTCTTTTTATTTCTCTCATTAACTTTGTGTCTTTCTTTCCCAGCCAACCACAGACGAGCTGGTCATGCAGTGACTAACATCCTGGCCAAAGAGCTGATGCAGGAAGATGCGCCTTCGTCAAGTAAATTTGCTGGAAAGAAGACAAAGTTAGAGGAGAAAGAGCAGCCTACACTAGAAGAAGAGTCATTAGAGGAATTACTGGAGGCGGCTCCCCCTCGGTCTAATTAGGCAGCCGGGGCAGAATTTGTTTGTACCCACATAGTCAGTGATATCCAAACACACATTTATAAATCTTAGGCATTCCAGGGGCCTGTATCATTCTGAGATTAGCTTGCTGAAAAAAAAAAGGCCTTTGTTTTCCCGACCCTTGTCTTAACAGGACCATCTTTTAGGGTAGCATCGACTCAGGGAGGACAGTGAGAGGCAGGGGATGAAGGCGGAACTCTCACCTCAACTCCTAGATGTTGGATCTTTGCCATTGTCATAAAAATGTAATTGCTTTCTTCAGCATGTGCACATATCTGCTTATGTACTGTTGTCTGTGTTTCTGTATTTCTACATCACTTAGTTCACCTGTCATTCATCAGATGGCATCTTGAGTAATTCCGAAGACTTTCTCAGACACATGGCTGTTTGTTTTCCTTCACTGCAAGTTCAGATGCAGTGGAGGGTGGAACGGGGATTGGTTAAGCGCTCTGTTCCCTTGGAGTTTAGTGTTCGGATATGTGTTATTTTTTTTTTTTTTCTTTTTTTCTTTTTTTTTTTTTAATGTTTGGAACGTTGCTTTGTCTGATTTATGTCACTATGTAAATGTCAATCATTTTGCTGTATTATTGAAAAAAGTGCCAACCAATAGAAATCCAGTCTTTTCATTTCACTTCAGGGTTTGTCAGTTTGCACTGGACTGCTTTGTGGACCAGTTGTCACCTGGGTGTTTGAAAGCGTGCACATTTCTTTTTTTAATCTGAGAAGAGATGTAATTCACTGCTGTGTATGTTAGAGTTCACACAAAAATAGGGATAATTTACACGATAGCTAAGATATTTTGCCACACGTGCCCAGAGCAGTTATATTAAGAATACCTGTTTTTATCCATAAACAGAAACATGCACCCTAGAGGGAAGGAGAGTCAAATGGGAAGGAGAAGTTCTAAACCAACAACATTGCTTTTTAAAAGGGTGTCTGCATTTGAACATAGCCTGAGTAGTGTGCATGCCTATGTGTTTGTGTGTATGAGATGCCTGTGTGAAATAAGCAGCCTAAATTTAGTTTTGTTTGCGTGCGTGTGTGTGCTTGTGCATGTACGTTTGACTGCGTATGTGTTGCCATCTGTAATTACTGCACAGTACTGATCATGCTGTCATAAATGCTAGGTTTCATAAACAGCCTTGCGGTCTTTCTGCTGTGCATATAGCACACTGGAAACTGCCTAAAACTGCTGAGACAAGTATGTGTTTGTTGTTCCCTCACTTTCTCTCCCACTCAACTGCAGCAGTAGTTTATGAATGCCTGGCCTTGCTTCTGTTTGTATTCAGTAGCCATCAGCATCCATGTTGCCATGATGTTATGGTGTAATGTCTGACAGGAATCCTGAGAGGTGATGTCAGCTGCTCCATGCAATATTTATTGCTTTGCAAACAAAATACTGTAGTGTGCACTCTAGCCCTGATAACCAGCTGTCCTCTGGATGTAAAAACTCCTGGGGTGGAGGTCAGTGGTTTGTGGTTCAAGGTCAGTGCTTCATAGCGCTGGTGATTGAAGAAGCTATTTACAGCTGCAAACATTCAGGAATCCCCAAATGTACTGATTTTTCTCAACACCAGCATTTACATGATATCCTCTGTAAACATTTGAATGCCACTGGACACAGAGGAACTGGCACTTAAACTAGATAAAAGATAAATGAGGTTCTTCAAGTTACAGGTGTATAAATGTGCGCATACCCATAAAATGCTGCTCCTACTCTCAAACACAACACAATCACAAAATAGACAAGTGCTGTTTTATGTGTGCTGTATTCTGTCCATGTCTCCAGGTGCACAGTGCCAGGTGACTGTGTGTACCAGATGTTGAAAAGTGGCTTTTCAGCAATAAAGGAGGGGAAAGCCTGAAAAAAAAAATACAAGGAACATCACTGGAATATTTGTTTTCTAATTTGAGTCATTCTTTTGGTTCATTGATTCTTTTTAAATGGTTGTTTTCTATGTGGATTTTTACAGTTTATTTTAATGTATATGAATTGATTTTTTTTTTTTTCTTCCATTGATCTATGTATACAGAATAATGCTGTCATTGTTTGCTACACAGGACTATTAAAAATGCTGAGTAATTTAATAACTTGTTTGGCTCATTCTTTGGTCAGATTTTATGTAATCTGCTGCTAGTGTACACATCTCCTGATGTGTTCATGTGATTAAACACCACTGTGTGTCATTTCCATCTCTGTTTTCCTGGAATCTGATTGGACAACCCTGTTGCCGCCGCTGCCAGAGTCAAAAGATTATGTTGCCATCATTAAACATTACTTCCTTATGTCCCCTTTTCCTTAAGTGTATGCTATTGGCATCTTAAGTTGGATAACTGCTGTCCCACAACTAAAAATGGCCTAAATTTGCCATTTTAAATTTTTTTAGTTCGTTTCACCCAACATTTTTAGGTCATCCTAAAAAAATAAAATGGCCCCTTTGAGATCTATTGTCAGCTTTTTTCCATTGCACTCCTATAACACTGTCGGGACGCTCCGATGTTAAAACACTTTAAATGCTGAACGATAAAAGGCATGCAGGAGAACCAGGGATATCGTCCATGTAATCACCGTTGTTCCTTGTCAAAACCTAGCGCCTACATTACCCACAATGCATCTGAATCGAGAACACCTCCATCAGTGATTCAGGTGTGCTGTGCTACTAGCTAATGTAGCCGTGAGCCACTGGCTACCCTCAGGCAAAGATGTTGAGTAAACTACAGATGTCAGGTAAGCTCACTTCTTTATAACTCACCCAGTTTGTCCCCCAGGTCATGTAAACTTGTAGCGTTGACTCAGCTAACATCATCTGGAGGAACCTTTGCCTGTCCTGACTGGAAAAACCAAGAACATGCCCTTCTGTGTCCTAGCAGCCATCACAGATACCAACTGGAGAAGTTTCCTTGGCCTCACCTTTCTACAGTGTGGTGAGTTGAGTCCTCTATTTGAACCATTTTTCTTCCACATCTCCTAAATCTCTCACAGTTTCTGTCAGGATTTCATCACTGGAGTGGTCAAACTGAAACTTTTGCATCTGCTTTTTATTTAAATCATAAAGAGAGCATGTATCATGCCCATCACTCTCTGGCAGTGAAGATACTGTTAAGTTAAATCCAGCTGGTGAGTGAATTTATTTTTATTGTGCTTTGCTCCGTGTACAGGTCTGCCTATGTTAGTAAGGATAATAAAGTGTGTCCATATCAGTTGTGAAAGCCAGTGTTGATCTGTGGTGTTTACTGGGCAATGAAACCTCCCAGGAAACTCTCCATTAAAGCTGAATGGAGCACTCAGTTTGTGGATAATGCATCCCAGTACAAGCACAGTTGAATTGTTTTATTAGAGATTTTTATGAACTTATTTGTGGCTAAAATTATACCTTAAAATCTATCATTTCAAAATGATCCACAATTTAATTTTAATGCTAGAAGTAGTTTTATTGTGAAAAATGCTCTTTAAATGCACATTTAGTGTTACCTCATCTCTGACGTAACAGTTTTTAAGAAAATGAGTTTCAGTGTTTGGAAGTCATTTCCCACAGGCTTTCCTGTGCACTGTGAGAGAAGGCCTTTGCTCCTCAGTGAACCTGAGCTCATTCTGGTGGCCTTTCACCTCCTGTTAATTTAACCAGAAAGCCCTAAAATTCTTCCATTGTTTACGATCGTGCTCTGGGCTCAGACACACATGTCGGCCATATGGCAGTAATGACTCTGGCTCCACGCTGACGAAGGTCAAAATATCTTTGCATCAGTTTTGGGGATTTTTGTGTGTCTTGTCACTCTTCGTGTCTCTTTGAAGACAGAAATAACAGGCAGTTGCTGTCCTGTATCTGATCCTAATCAAAGTCAGTTATAACAGAGCCAGAAGCTCTTTGCTTTTTCCTAGTGTCTCTTTGTGTGTGTGTTCCTTATGTTTTCCATAAAGGCTGCTGGGATGGTGTGTGTGTGTGTGTGTGTGTGTGTGTGTGTGTGGCAGCATGGGGAATATCCATGTCAGTCATGTTATGTTATGGAGAAAGTTCTGTGTTTGACTAAATTTTAATATTACATAAGTATTAGTAACACTAAGAACACAAGGACAAATATAAAGTCTTAAACTTTTAAATGACCCTTTCAAAGTGCTTGCATGTTCTTATCCATGTTCCTTGACTTGTGCTTTGACAATGTAGAAAAAAATAACCCAAATATAACTAAGATTAAGTGGCTTTAAACTTGAATCGCCAATATGAGGCCTGACTGAAGAGCATAATGCATCATATAGAGTTTGTTTTTAGCTTCTTGTGGAACAAAGTCACACACATTCCCATTAATATTTATTGTGCCACCTTGTGTTGGACACATTTTCCCTGGAATGACCAAAAAAAACTTCCATGGATATTATCACCTTGGACATGTTAAATATATTGTTAGTGCTTCTTTGTAATGACTCCGTTGTTAAATCCAAGGATACATGTGGGATTGTTCATCAAACCGGGCAGTTTACTTTTTCTTTTTTTTTACTTTTTAACCTAGTGACCTGGTTGTTTGTCTGTACAGTAGCTTTACAAAGCTCAACAAACATGATTTGCACAGTGAAAAGTAAACCAACATGCAAGAAGTCTTCTGAATTCTGAATCGGAGAGCTTGAGTGATTAGCAAGAGGGTGAGGGTCACACTTATGAATGAAATCCAGTACATGTGGAAAAGCAGATGAAAAGAGGCGGAGGGATGGAAACAGGGAGGGGTAGTTGGGAGGAAATGTTGCCACGATGAAGTGATTAGCCTGCAAACAACCCGTCTGCAGATTCAAAAGCTGCTGACTTTGTTCTCACCGGCTGCACCGTGGGAGCAGCTGAGAACAGTGTTTTTAGGCCTGCACGTGTGTGCACGTCCTGGACTCTGGTGCCTGCTGTGTACACATCCTCTTTGTTGTGTTTGTGTGGCACATTTTCATTCTGGAGTAGATGTAATCTGTAGGCGTGTTCTTGTGGGCGTGTCCGAATGTGTGCTTATATTCTGTTACACTCGTGCTTGTGACTGTGTTTACACACTTCACATGACTGCGTGCATCCTGTTTGTGTTAGCTGCAGGGTGCTGTAAGAAGGGGTTCATCAAAATAATGCAGAAACAGGCCCCACACCTTTTTGAAATTTTTTATTTGAGTTACAACCTGAGTAATAGATCTTCTCAAGATTCAAGCTTAACATCCCTGAGTCATGGGTGGGCAGGTCAGCATCCCTCCACCTGAGTAAGACAGGAGGGAGGCAAAGGACAGCAGACGGTGCTTGGCTAGAATTTGGTGCATGCTCTCCCCTTGTGTGTGTGTGTGTGTGTGTGTGTGTGTGTTGTGATGTTTTTTGGTGGCTGGATTGTGGTGGGATCCATAGTGATGTCTCATTACTATGAGGTTCAGGTCCTCCCGATTCCCAGACTCCCTCAGTCTCTGGTTGTGACATTCAGGGGAGCTGAGGGAGATTTGTATGTGTGTGTGTGTGCGCGATCATCTGTGTCCTTATAAGCATAAAGGGGGGTCTGCTGGAGAAAAGAGATCTGAACAAAGAAAGGGGGCAGTATAATTGGTTTCAGCACTGCCAGACAACAGAATGACACAGCCATTGATGGTGGAATGAGTTCCCGGGAGCAGTGGACCAATGGAAGAGCAGAAGGTTGTTTTTCACAGCCTCTGATTGGCTGACCGAGGGAGGCTGTCGGTCTCCAGGTAGCGAAGTGAACCTCAGCTTATCTGCCACCCTGCCGCCTCCTGGAGGAGAGGCAGAGACGGGAGGGAGTGTTAGATTTGGAGATGTGACCTCATCTGTGGAGCAAAGAAAACAATAGGTTTAAATACACAGAACATGTTTATGTTCCTTATGTGTCCTCTGTCCTTCTCTATGAAACGCTTTCTCTTTTCTCCTGACCCAGATATTTTGTCTGTGCATGTGCATTTCTCTGGCCGCTGTTAGCATCCTCGGTGCCAGTGCTCTGAAATAAATGTGTTTCATTTGACTTTAACTTGGCTACACACTCCACGGCTCCAGTCTCAGTTTCTGAGAACTGTGGCTTAAAACCTCACTTTATTTGTTTGGACTGGCCATGTCTCAGCTCTCATGCTGGTTAGAGAGAGAAATACACTGAACACTGGCATTGAGTCTCCAGAGAAACAGGCTTTGGATTACTGCTAATGAATGCAAAAAAAAGGGCTTTAACTGATGCTTTTGATGATGGTATGTGTATGGTTGTGCATATGGATTTGAATATGCACTGAATGCGTGTTTGTGCATTTGTGTGCTCATTTGCATCGTTTTGAATTTACCTGTAAGTGAGTATGTAAATTCACACACCAGCCTCAAGGTATGTAAATGTTCATCTGGCTGCTTCTTTTCAGTCGTCATATCTTAATGATATCCCCTTGATCAAATTACTCGGCTGCTTGTATAACACTCTACACGTGACACACAATTAACCGACAATTAACATGGGCCGGTGAGTGTCAACCGATTGGCTGTGCCATCACAGTGAATGACATCTCCATCATCGGTCCGCTCCACGGTGCATCGGAGATAAAAAACAGTCTGCCTGTCTCATGCACGAGTCTGAGCCACTCCTGTCTCACAGTTTGCTCTCCTGCCTGCTCATAAACATATAATAGTTTCTCCTTTGTTTTTCTGTCTCACTTCTTCTGTTTCCTACGTCACTGATTAGCGGTCCATATCTGCCCGTCATTTGATTTGTCTTGGCTCTCAGAGTGAGCTGGCATGGTGTCGTGAAAAGGACTTTGTTGTGTGTCAGACCTGAAGACGCCTAAGCATTAAATCCCATTACAGAGCAGATGGGACTTTTGTAAAGAGAATTGTTAATCATCTAAAGTAGGTCTCTGTGGATTTGTTGAAAAAGTCCGGAAGATTTTAAGTTTCATACGAAGACGGCTTTTATTTTCTTCCTTGACCTCTTCACCTTTTCTCTTACACATTGTCCACTGCCTCCTTTCTCTCGATGTCATCATTAGCAGAGGCAGACTGGCCTTATCCTCTGCAGCCATGATGAATCTGAGAAACACCAGACTTGTTTACCATTTTTTGCTGAAAATCCCCTTTGATTTTTAAGTCACACTGATCTCCCTCTGCCTACATTCAGCATGAACCCCACAATCCGTAACCTACTTCAACACACAAATCCTGCTGCCGCCTACAATTTTCATTTTTGAGCATTTCCTGCTCCTGATCCATGATGTCATGGATCATCCTTGCGGATCATCATTTCTCTTCGGGGATGAATTTCTCCCCCAAAATGTCTGTCTCTGCTGAAGGTTGACGCAAAGTGAATATCAATAAGCACCAGGGGTTACACAGCCACATGCATGACCACAGTGCTCTCTCTTTATCTCAGACACAGAAAAGGAAGACTTTTCTGTGTCTTTCTCTCTCTCTCTCTCTCTCTCTCTCTCTCTCTCACACACACACACACAGACAGTCTGGAATACTAACAGAATGCTCATAATATATAAACAAATGCTAGAGACAATGATAGTTTTTGTTGCTGGAAAAGCAAATACAAATCCACTTGTTGGAGGTATTGGTATCAGTAGCAGGCTGCGAGCACATTTAATATCACACACAGCTTATAATGACAAGCAGACAACTTATAGTTTGGTGTCATCATCTGTGTGAGCCATGGTTCCTGCTGGTTTTGACAGTCCTGACATGTTAATGTGACAACTGACTGATGTGAATCGATACATGTAAGTGTCCAGGATTCAAACCCACAACATGCTGTGGTATCTTTGTTTCCATTAATATTTCATCAACTGTCAGTACAATTGGACTTCTTTCCTATTAATATTAATGAATTAATATTGTATTAAAGGGTCCTTTCCTTTTACCAGACTGTGTTTAGCAACCAGTCACTTAAAGTGAACAGACACAACTGATCCCTAGGTGATTTTTTCTGGAGCA